AGAATTGCCTGAACCCAGGAGGCGGAGGTTGCGGTGAGCCGAGATCGTGCCATTGCACTCCAGCCTGGGTAACAAGAGTGAAACTCTGTCTCAAACAAAAAAAAAAACCCTATGAATGGCCCACCCAGTCTATGCTCCTGACCGCCTGGAGAGGAAGAAAAGCCAGCCTCACCAAGTTCATCTGTGATGAGGTGCTTCCCTTGAATGGAGTTCCGGCACTGATTGCTCGGACGACTGCTGTTGCCCAAGTTAAACTGCACTTTCCACAGGATGGGCTGATCATGGTCTTGAACCTGGAGGAGATTCCTATCTCTCACTGCCCTCTCCTCCTGCAAAGAAACCATAAGTGAGAAGGTTAAGTATCCAGAATCCTTTCTTACAATTTCCCCAGTTTCTCATAGAAGCTACAGAAGAGGACAGAAATACTGTAAAAAGCTTACGTAACAGGAACCTGTGCTCTCCTGGTACAAGCAAAGCCTGAGCCAAAGTCACTAAATAAACCTGTAGGAGAAAGCAATAGCTAGTGCTATGCTTCAAAACTGGCACACTTAACACAGATGGCTCCTGGATGACATGCACATCATAAATGTGTGTAAAAGTGTGAATTTTATGAAAAAGTTGGACAGGAAAAGTTTTGGACATTTTCTTTCTGATGGCAAGTAATTTAAAATATTTTTCCTATTAAATACATCATGGAACAGAATTTAAAATGTGAACACACGTTTTAAAGAGAAGAAGAAATGTTTGTGACTCTCATCTCAGACACTAGAGCACAAAGTCCCTTTCACTTGCAGTTACAGGTACTTTGGTGGAAGACGTTTGGGAAAACGTGAATTAGGTGGTTGGTTTTAGGGGCAAAATGGAGCATGTCAACTTACGAATTTCTTCTATGAAGGACCACTGGGTATGTAACCCTCTACTGAACACACACTGGCCAGCCAGCCCTCTACCCAGACAAGCAACTGGAAGAGTTGCCCTGGAGTCAAGAGTCTAAGACCATCTCTTCTGGCCTTGAAGCTATGTCCGGAGGAGCCAGCCTTCAAAGCTGCCTTTTCTATACTGCTAAAAAAACTAAGGAGGAAGATGTCCAAGTGCCAGAAAACAAGCCAAGCTTGAGACAGCCTCTTCTGAAGGCGTCAGTTGATTATTGGATAACAAAACAACGATGGAGCTCCCTCCCATAGGGTTTTTATGCACTTGAAACATTCACCGTTCTAATGGAGTTTGTGGCTTTTATCATTAAAAATAATCTGTCATGTGTCACTTTTTAAGCAAATGGGACTAACCTTGAAAATCTGATGAAGAAGCTTATATACTTAAAAAATGGTAACAATATTTATAGCTATTAGCATTTCTCTAGGAAAGTAATCTGGGAAGATCGATTAGTATTTTAAAAATATATATCTACATACACTTTGGCCCAGGAAACTCAGGTGTATCCTATGGAAAACACCAATGTATAGGGAAATACAGGGATGTTTACTACATCATTGTTTCAATGGTATGAAAAACTTGTAATTGATTGAGTGTGGTGGCTCACGCCTGTAATCCCAGCACTTTAGGGGGCCGAGGCAGGTGGACCACCTAAGGTCAGGAGTTTGAGACCAGCCTGGCCAACATGGTGAAACCCCATCTCTACTAAAAATACAAAAATCAGCTGGGCGTGGTGGTAGGCACCTGTAATCCCAGCTACTTGGGAGGCATGAACCCTGAAGGTGGAGATGGAATGAACACTGGCATAACAATACTATTACAACCAAACCTAGATACAACTGATAGCTATTTAACTAGAGTAGCAGTTCTACAACCTGACTTTTGCACATCAGATTACTGTAGGGAGCATAAAACAAATTCTCATTCCTAAGCCCACCTATGGACAGGAAAAATCTGTGGATTTAAAGTGCCTACATGATTTTAATACATAGGGTTGCAGACCACTCCGTGACTATAGTGTATTATTATGGAAAAAGCAAGTTGGCAGAATAATGTGCATATTATCACACATATTATGATAATAATTATTACAATATGCACATATTGGTTGGTAAGAGCTAACATAAAGGTGTGGAAAGATGTACAGCAGTCTCCCTGACCCATGGTTTTACTTTCTGAAGTTTTAACAGTTACTCACAGTGAACTATGGTCCAAAAATATTAAATGAAAAATTCCAGAAGTAAACAATTCCTAAGTTTTAAATTGAGTACTGTTCTAAGTAGCACGGGGAAACCTCACGCCATCCACTCTGTCCTGCCTGGGCTGTGAATCATTCCTTCGTCCAGCGTATCCATCTTAGTCACTTAGTAGTCACTCGTTACCAGGTCAAAAAACAGTATGTATCGGGTTTGGCGCTAGCCGCAGGTTCAGGCATCCACTGAGGGTCTCAGAACAGATAAGGGGAACTACTCTACTACAGACTTTAGCATGGGAGGGATATATGTGGCTATTAAAATTATCTTTAATCATCTTAGGAATATCTTTTAAATTTAAAATAAAGTGGTAACACCATTAAAAACAGGATTATTAACAACAGAAGGAAACTAAGTGAAGATTCTGTAGGAACTCTATTATACTTGCAATTTTTCTGTAAATCTGTAATTATTCAAAAAATTGTTTAAAAAATACAGTTACCAACACTAAAGGCAAAAACTGTCCATAATCCCATCAACTTCAATACATTATATTTGTTTTTGCATATTAACTTCTAGCTTTTGACCTCAACATTTATACAAATTAGGATGTTTTGCATTCAGCTCTTCTTGACACTAATTGGATAGTAAAACATTTCCAAGTCCCTACATTATCTTGATAATCACATTTTCAAGGCTACATAATAATCCATCATGTTGATGTGCCATCATTTAGTAAACACATCCTCTACGGACCAACGTTAGGCCCAGGTTTTTGTTATCAAAGATCATACTGCAATAAAATGTGGAGCTTTTAAAACAATTCTTTTGAATAACGTGTAGTACCATGCTACGTAGGGCCAAATAACTTCCCACATTCTCTCTACCATTTTTAATAGCACCACAGCACCAGCATTTACATTACAGTGTTTACAATTTGATCACAGCCCCACCAGTACCGGATTTTGTTCTTTGATTTACAAAGCGTAAAACAGTCTTTCAAGGTGGCTTTCATTTCTATTCTGCCCCCTCCCTTTTGCTTCTTTGCAAAGAAAGAACTGGTACTAGCAGGACCAGGGCGGGTTATACAAAAACAACATGTGTATCCCTCGGTTACTACAAGAACAGGTGCTAAGCGCAGGTGCCTTGGGAGTATGGGACAAATCACTTAGGTGCATGCTGCTTAACTACCTGTGAACTCATACTCTTCTGCTCTGCTGGGACCCTATCATTTAACTGCATCACCAAGCTATGTGCGATCTAAACTGAGCAAAAATGCTACCCTAGATAAATTAATAGCCATAAAGACTATTAAGAGCTTGGCCAAAGTACAGTAAGCTGGATTTTACGACAAGGTTAAAAGTGCTCTTAACATCACTGCTGCACTATCCTGTTATTCTTCCGAATGAAAACAAGGGTTCATGGTCAAGTGCGTCCCCGGAGGACCCCTGCCACATAATGACATTCCTGGTAAACAGGAAAGCAATTCTCCCAGCACTTCAACGTGTTTTCAAACATGAATATTCAAGATCTTGCCAAAAGGATGGTGAAAGCATGTGGCAGAAATGACTTCGCAACGTTTGCTTTCTGGAAGGCCCAGTCTTGGAAAGGGTGCCGAGGGCATTCCTTCACAGGATGGGGGAATTTCTACCTTTCCTAAGCTCTTTCACCTACTCTCTTAGGTTGTCTCAATTTGAAGCTTTTCCTCATATTTATATTTTTTTCACTTAAGATTTATTCGAAGGTATCTAGTTCTTACAAAATGCTGAAGATACAGAGCCGAATGGCAGTCCAGTTCCGTATTCTAAGAGTCTCAGAGCTGTTGAGAAAGGGGTATGTCCATGCATCAGTGCAATCAGTCACTGCACATACTATGACAGATGTCCACATGGGGTACAGGATACAAAGAAAAGAGCAGGAGCCAAAAATCCATAAGCTTTCTTCCTAATTGTAAAGAGCTACAGAAATACATCGTGATGACTAACGTGTTGCTTTGTGGCCGGCTTTAGAAGGGCTGTATTCATAACTGTGCTATGTACTTTTCAGGAGTTATCACAGGTCAAGTGAGATGAATGTCCCACGTCAGCAGTAAAGCATGGAAACATAACGCACTCTTGTCATTAGGAGAGACTTGCTTATGAACCTCAAAAAAAGAGGGGAGAGGGAGAAGGGCCAGAGGGTATTTCAAATGTCTGGTATTTGAGAAATGGCTAAATGCTGCCTGATAATGGAAATTTTCAGTTATAAAAATCATATTTCCAAAGAGCTTTTAAAGACAGGGAAATGCTTATATGTTAAGTGAAGAGACAGTGTGTCTCAACTATACAAACAAAAATTATGAAAAATGGCAGAACGAAAATATGCCCAAATACGAACGGTGGATGCCTCTGGTTAGTGAGATTACGGGTAACTGTTATCTGTTCCTCTACCCTGTGCAATATGAGACAAACATTCTGAAATACATATATCTTAGTAATCAGTGAAAAACAACAACAAAACAACCCCACCAAATTAGCAACTCTCATATTATATATTATAGCTCATTTCAGATAGTATCTAACTTGGCACCAATTTTCTTAGTTAGCTCCCTTAAGGCTGAACACGCTCATATATTTTCAAGGCGTTATGCAAACAGCCCTGAGACTTTCAGGAGCTGCACCACTTGAACAGGAATGAGAACATTTGGTCACATGATAGGAAGTTTAAGGCCCTTCTGACTCCCAAGATTGGAAATTGTTTAATCTCAAGTCAAATGCCTCACATAGTTAGGCCCACCCTGCCCCAGATCATGTCACCTTGCTTTGTCTTCTTCATCTCATACATCATTATCTGAAATTATTTTGCTTATTTACTGTCTCTCCTCCTTACCTGCTGCGGAATATAGTCTCTTGGAGGGGAGGGGTGTCATCTGCTTTGCCCACTCTGTCTTTGCCAACCAGCAGAACAGTGCCTGGCACACAGTTGGTGTTATTTGTTAATAATATTTGTTAATAATAAAATGCACCCAAGTCACCTGCACCATTCACCATTCCCCACCCTCCCTCAGTGGCATCCCCACCATCATCACTGATTTCTCCTGCCGCCCATCTCTCCAGGTTATCCCCCACAGCATTAATTAACATGAAAACCAAGGAAAAGGGGAATTCAGAGCAGCAGAGGATAATCAACTATCCTCCAGGCAAAAGCTGCTGCATCTGCTCCAC